TTAAACTAATGAAACGCTAGCTAATGATGAATAATGTCTAACTATTAGTCTAGACACGTCTTACGTTATGAGCTTTTAGGTATTATAATCTAACAAATGGAAATCAAGAAAATGTGTTTCCCAAAGTGAAATCGTAAAATCTTACTTAAACCAGGGAAAGTGATGTGTCTAGACGTGACTGAACGTTATCCAACGATATAAATCAAAATCTTACGACACAGCGACTTTTCACACATCATTAATTTTCCAAGTTTCAACCGCTAAACATGGAGTCAAATGTTAATAATAGATTTAATTGGAAGATAAGCTCACACTCGATGAATTAGTAAAGTGAAACGTGTATTGCACACGTTTTTATTAAGTCTTTTGTTTATTAAAACTCCATAAAGTAGACAAATTATAATGTTTATTTTATCAATCATTATATATTTTGTGCGTGTGTGAAAACTTCTACTTTTAATGTATAAATAAGATTAGAATTTATCAAGACACGTGTTTTCTATTTAGTCGTAAACAAAGTTAATTTGCTGCCAATCGCCCACTTTTTAAGTTGTTAGCGATGTTCATAATAATAGATTTGATAATAGGTATTTTAAAGTGATACACTTTTTATTAACTGAATTCACTATTACCTATTCTAGAAGTAGATTGTCATTTGGATCTTAGTTAAAGTCTGTTGGCTCATCATCATCATCGATCGATCGCTCAGTATTGTTTTTATTTTAATTTTTCTCGTCAGTGCATCGTTATCTGTCAATATTTCATTGCCGATCGTAAAATTTAATCTTATCATGACTTGACGTTTTCTAGTTATCATTGTTGCAAGCACTTATTGTAAATTGTAATGCATTTCATTTTTTGCCTTCAGAACGCCGATCTAACCATACAGCAATTAAACTAAGTTAATCAGAGGTTAGTCACGAATTCACGATCACCGTCGCAGTTTCTTCGAACGCTCGTATAAGTCGTATAGTATCGTTGACTAGAAATCATAGGATACATTAGTCTATTGCACACGGGAGAAATGACATAGTGGTTATGCTCTTGATTCTTATGTGACATCATAAAATTCATGAGTGAAAACCGTGTGCAACATGCGGATCTACTTCAAGGAGTACAAGATTAAAACGGTGAGTTCAATGTGTAGAGTCTTTTATCTATTTGCTGATCCATTGGAATTAACTTGAAAGGGAGAGTAACACCAATACAAATTATTCTTATTTGGGAGTCCAATGACAGTTCGACACAATGTAATTCGCTGCCTGCTGCTGTCTTTCCGGGCCTTTTAAGGGCGAGAGTGATTAGGCAATTACCATCCTAGACTGCATCTCACTTAACACCAGGTGCGATTGCGGTCAAATACCGGCCTTGTTATCTATAAAAAAGTAAAATTTTCCCCTCGGACAAACTTGACCTTAACTAATTAGGTTGTTATGTTACTAGTAGTCAAGCTGTTACTGTATTTATTTATTTACTGCACACGGGTTGCAGCACCTGCAGTGTTTTCACGAGAGTTACGGAAAGTCAAGTACTAACACTATTTTGTAAGAAACAGCCCTGAAGTTTCCACTTCACGAATTAATTCTGCTCAGATAATGTTATATTAATCGATTTCGCGTTGTTATCAATTAAACCCGATGTCGGTAGTACCAGAAAGTGACTACTTAATAAAATCGATCGAGCAAAAAAGTAGAGCAGTAATGAAACTAATATATCTTGAGATTTATGAGCTCATGTCAATGCTGTGTCTTCAGTTAGAAGTAAATGCATTGTTTGGTTGCCTAAATTGGCAACAGAAGGCTCGTAGACGCTCATTAAGCGTCTTAATGAAGAATTGAATAAGCGAAGACTCAATTTGATTGCTGCATTAGCGTACCTATATTGTGAAAATTAGACTACTACTCCAATTTGGTTATGAAACACAAAAATTAGTGCGGAAACAGATAATATAGTACCCAATTTGATGATAAAAAGGTATCATAAAGGTAACTTGAAGAAGTTTATGCGTGCACGTCGATTTATAAAACACTAGCTTTTGCCTGCGGCTTCTTCGACCGAGATGAATACTGTCCTATATCCTTTCCTAGGACTCATAAGATTAAGTACGGATAAATGCTTAAAATACTGGCTAAATAGGTAAATTTTACTGAATATAATAAGCTTGATACTAAGTAATCCATCTTGCATCTCCTCACCTCACAGACGGGAGTAAATACTAATTCCCCTAGTACCTTGGCTGCTTCACCGATACTGGCTCACAAAGCGGTATAGAGCAATACAAGTTACGCTCTAACTTTGATATTGAGTAGGTTTTGGAGTACGAGATAGTTTGTATGTACTCTACAATAGAACTAGGTTATGTATCTATAGAACAGAACCAAGAGAATTCAGGTTACCTTAACCCATCAAACCCGCAACAATTGATTATTATGTGTCTCGATTCGCGGAGCTTGAAGGGATAAGTCACAAGTACTTAGGCTTGAAATTGCTCTCCGTTTCTCAGAAACACATATATATTTTGTTAATGAACAAAACACAAATAATGTGCTTAAAGTTAAAATTAGTTTTCAAAATTGTAATGAAAGAGAAATTATACAAACTTTTAATCCTAAACAAAGGTTTCCATTCATTATTATTCCACCAGAGTTCACCGTAAACCGTTTAGTGTTGTAAAAAACACATTTCTAGGAGACCTTGGTGAAATGCGACGTTCGCAGCTTCACATACCTACTAGGCACAAGGACAAGTCATGTAGGTCCTTCAAGTAAACAAGGTGCTGCATGTTTTAGTACGTTACAGTCTTACAGTATGTGCCTGACGTATTTGGGGTACTTGGGAATATTTAAATAGCTTGTTAGTTTTCAAGGGCGAAAGGTCTCGTAGGTCCTACAAAACAACCCTCAAAAGCAGATTAAATCTCAATCAGATTATGTCATGTGATTTAGTCTGAATATTGAAATTCATTCATAGCTTGACATTGAATCGAGTCTGAGTCTGTAATATTCACTCAATAAGTGATTGCTTGATAGGTATGTATTATAAAACGGATCTTAAAACTTGATATTGCCTGTCTGTAAAGTCGGGAAAGTTTTCTTCAGGAGAAAACTGAATTTTCTTGAAGCCAAATCTTATTTTATTTAACAAAATGCTGCTCTAGCTTGCTACAAATATTTCGCTCATGTAAAAATTGACACCAAATTATATTACTTCTACAATTTTTGAATACAATCAGGTCTGTGTCTGTGCTGGCTACTGAGAATTTTTTGCTGTATTAAATATCTCGAATTTCTTTTCTATTTTGTTAGTGACATTTACCAATTTATTAAGCGTCCAAGGCTTGATGTTTTTCACTGGTGCAAGCAGAAATAAAAGTAAAGCTTTTTAAAATAATGGAGGGGATCGTGGCTGAAACAGCGGGTGGGGTTAACATCAAGTAGTTAGCTGGAATTGCACAAAGGCTAAAGCGTGACGTCATAGTATAGATCGGAGCACAGTTTACTTGGGAAAAGAAGGCTGAGTCATTTGACAAAGCGATTCTTCCCTAGAACTAAGTGTGACTTACGGATCGGAGCATAATATACTTGGGAAAAGAAAGTTCATTAGGTCCCTCTAATTTTAAATATCTTCTATCCTCGAATTATCGTGAAAATACACCTAAAAATAACCATGAAACGGTTTTTGAACCCGTTGGACGATTGCGAATTAAAGAAATGCGCCTAAACGCGGTGATTTTATGTCAATCTAACTACACAGGCAATGGGACTACTATACTCATTTGTATTGTACAGTATTAGTCTAGCTTAATGCCCGATCAATCTAACGCTCTATTATTGATGCCCCAAGATGTGCTTTGTCTTCGTGATCTCAGTTTGATTTACCATATTAATCCAATGTGGGCACTGGACTATAATCTCTTCATATCAGTCCAATTACTTAGTACCTACCTTGTAGTACTGTACTTACCTTAATCTTGAGTCAAACGTTAACTTCATCCATTTTGTAGACCAAAGTGGCGTGACCAAAGTGACCAAATGCGGGCTAGAGCCCGCACTTTATGTTATTGGTAAAAAACGCGTTGAAATAAAAGCATTAGGTATGGTTTTTATTTAAAGGCGCTCTTTGCGGAAACATCTTGATCTAGACCCAGTTTTTGCTTCGAAAGCTTTTTTGTGGTATTGGGTGCGAATTGCGATTGTTATCTATTTCTCATTTAATACTGTGCAGTGGTTTGTAGAAATAGCTAGTGATTTTCGTTACGATAAACATGAGACGTGTGTGTTTAACCGACTATTATTCCTTTATAATAAGAGCTGTATGTTTCTTTCAATAAATAAATAATATTGATGATTATTTTACGTTTAATAGCTTTGATTTTTATTTCAGGGTTGTAAAGATTTCGATACAGGTATCTATTAACAATAGATTTGCACAACTTTCGATAATAATACCATCGACAGTCTGACGCAGTGCTGACTGCAGACTTATTTATTTTATTTATTTATCAATGTTACAAACAATTTTAATACACAGAATCAAATCACACAAAATATAAGACTTATCTTTAGCAATTAATGTCACATTGTGGAACAAGTAGACTCTCGCGGTGACCAAACTCTTGCGCTGCTTCATTTCAGCATTGACCAACATCATCATCCTTACTCTGTCATTGAGTTATTAGGTACTATGATGCGTCCACACTTGGTGAATGGGCTCGCGCGGCAAACTCGACATCCTGTTCAGTCAAGAGCAGGGTGAGCAGGATGACCAGCGTGCCGCGCGAGCCCGTTCGCCCAGTGTGGACGCACCACTATATTAAGGCCCGATTCGACCAAACTTTTATCCGAGAATAACTCCTGGTATAACTGGCACATTGACAGTTTCAGTATGGGAAATATGTCAAAATTGATCATTCTGAGATTAATATTTACTCTTGTTTAGTCGAAACCACCCTAAGAAGTTTGATAAGAACGTTTAAAAATAATTAACCCTTTGTCTTCCAGCGCACAGCTCCAGAATGCACGCCGCCGTGCCGACGCGCGCAGCCGTCGCCGCGCACGACCAGCACGCCGAATCATGCGCAGCCTGTCGTCGCCAACGTCTCCACTGGTAAGTAGACAGAATTATTTCATCATCAGCCGGGCTAGGATGCGCGCCGTGATATAGGTACTTTATCGACGTCAAAATGTATGGGAAAAATCGATAAAATGGCGTGATAACCGATAATCGAGGCGCGCATCCTAGGCTTACATATCATTTAGTCTCCATTGCAGTAGCACGACCATCTAATTCACCACAGGCAATAGACGTGTTTTGGAGGAATCTTAAATATTATAGATTGTTTCATCCACGAAGACCCGCCCCACCATTCTTCCGCTAATGTTGAGTGACTTGAGTGTTATTGGTACACGCTAAAATATCCATGAGTGCACACGCACTACAATTTCGCTCGCTCGGGTTGCTCGGATCAAACTCCCCGCAGCCCGCGCTTTCCTCTACCAAAAGTTGATGGGGCGCGTCTTCTTAAATACTGTACTTATCTTTAAAATGATTTGTTTACACAAATCACTAGTCGGCGTGGAATTGAACCAGCACGGTTTCTTGGATCTCGAATCAGCTGTCTGACGCTGACACCGTTGGGCTGTTGTCCCCCAGTAATATCGTTTTATACATTACGTAAATGTAAACAAACACACACTTTTCCATATAAATTTTAAATAACAGGGTTTTATTTATTTATTTAATTAATTAAAATGCAAGTGAGCTTACAGATATATCCAAAGCGCTCACATTGCCAATTTGAAATTAGTTTGAGGTTTTTTGGAGGTGTTCCACCTATAGTGTTTTTTATTTGTGTACTAAGTACGTAGGCACCCTTTCTGATCAAGCAGAGTTTCCTTACATCTTGTACCTACCTATGTATGAATTTATTGGATCTTGACTACAATATCACCCGAACGGTGCAGGTGCGGTCTATGATAGAGCGAGCTTGCTTGAAGTACTTACTTAACTTTAACTTACATAACTGAGCATAATATGTAAATCAGTATATAGTGACCCAACTTAAGCTTCCAACATTAAAAACATTTGTTTACAGTTTGAAAAGTGTCAACACGCAGGAAAAGTACGTCTTGTTTACGCAAATTACTTATTATGAAAATAAATAGCGCTTAATTGATTTTGTGGGGAGGGCTGAAATATAAATAATGTTGCAAACGCTTTAGTAACGGGATAACTGGTTGAAATTTACAGTTTTATCGCGGAACAGTATAACCTGAATCATGACTCAATATTGGACATTTAATCAACATTATGGCCTTTAGCGGAGAATCTTGGAATCTTTTGATGGCTTATTACTTACAAATAACTCCTCTATATTTTCTACTATGTTCTTCATTGCGGGTCCAATGAAAAACTTTCCCCTGGGACAAACTAGACCTTCACTGGTTTGGTTTTTATTGGCGGTCAAGCTGTAGATCCTGGCTACATGGGAGTTGCAGCTGTGGGAACGAGAGATGGAAATACTCCCGTTACAAATAATATTATTCTACCTTTATTTGGTAACTTATGTTCTATTTTTACGCCCTATTTGAGTCACCTATATTGTTCCTCTTACGTAAAGGGACACCTGTGATTATATTGGCAGCGGCCACCTAACCTTGCTCCGAACACTATTTAAAGGGCAAACTTGTTTTGGTATTCATTCATGCTGAATTCGGGTACGGTCAGCAGAAAAATAGAGACATTATTTATGTCTATAACCATGGTTTTGCTGTGATTAATTTAGTAATTCTTACAAATCCTAAATCTACTAATGGTTTTTGAGCATTGACTTATTATTATAATAATCTTTGAATTACTTCGCTTGATGTCCGGTAATTTTATAAAGAAGCCTTACAAACTAATCTCTTTGCCTCCAATTTTTTTCTCCGTACCTAACATATAAAACTGAAAGTTCAAGCTCGTATTTCGTAATACGCCCACACTCCAGTAACTCGATACACGATATAGTCCGCCCTAGTTTTTTGAAACATGTGCGAAATATTTTGCGAATGTAATACTAGATGCCTTTAAAACACGATCGGCTGCTTTATTAGAGACTCAAACCGACCACTTTAAAACTACTGGATTCTGACATACCTATTCTATGAAATAATAAGTTTTTTAAGGCTGATTAACTATTGCAAATCCGCGCCCAGTGAAAGAAATGAGTGAAGTTGTTTATGCCTATATGTATTGTGCAACAAATACAAATAACAATAAATTACTGTCAATTAAAGGCAAGTTTTTATTTAGGTCGTCATTCATTAGTTGCACTGTTTGTATTGTTTTCACGTAAAAAAAATGCATTAAATTGTATATCTACAGGTAGCTAGGCAGGCAGTGGGTTACGTGGGGCTCTCCTCGCTAAAAATGAGTTGGCCATTCATTAAAAACCTGAGGAAATGACGACGCTCTCAGAAGCCATTGGGAGCGCGGTATACCACCATCGGCAGTAGCGTCTAGTATTCTAGTATTATCTAGTATTTTAATTTATTTTTTATTGAGATGCCGTTCTAGTTGAATGATATTCTAGTCTAGTATCTCCGCGACCTATTGTGATCGTCACTATTAGATTCAAAGGTTCGACCAAACCAACGCCTGCAGCCTGCGAGCGTTATGGCGATGGCGATCCCACTGATTTCTACTAATCGCCATCGCCATCGCGCTCGCAGACTGTACGCGTTGGTTTCGCTGAACCTTTGCAGTATGGATGTTATGGATATGTAGTTTCGGTTATTGATACGGTTACGGATATAGGAATAATATTATACTGGTTTCGGTTACGGTTTCCGATATTTTTTTATTTCGGATATTTAATCCGAAAGTTTCGGTTTTACAGTTCACCTACGAGTCCTGCATCTAATAGTCCAGATTACACTACTTGTGTCTGTATTGTGCCGCATTAACTGCCTACTTAGCATCGCAGATTGATTAGCAGATAGGCATTAACCTATGCGTGTCGTGTTTTCACTCGCACATGCACCAATTACCCATAATATGCAACGTGAAACTTCACTGACTTAACGTAAAAGTGAAACCGATAAAGTATCTACTCTTCTAAAATGTTTCCAATTTATTTAACGTCAGGAAAAATGTCCAATACAATTTAGGTATTAATTTATTTCATCATAATTCGTGTTCCAGTTGAAGTGTGATTAAAACAATAAGTTTTTACAAACCTGTTTTGTAACGTTACTGGCTGGTATATTGCTGTAGGCAGTTAGTAAATTAAAATTAAACCACTGTTAATAAAACCTAACCTGCCATGTAGTTAAATAGTTTCCTGTTTGGGACGTCCTCGCTAATTTATAGAATATTAAAAATGCTATAAAATACTTTTTCCGTCTAAATACTACTTATTTGAAAGTGAAAGGAAAACAAACTACTCTTAGATACTAAAGTTCATTACACCAAGATATAGTAAAAGTGAAAATAAACTCGGAAAGCTGTCATTCCTATTGCTCATTAACTTCAAAGCTAAATATAACTTCACTCAAAACCACAGTGGTTACGGTCACTTAATGTCAACATAATTGATGGTTAATAATATATAATCAACAACTGTACATTATGTACATATTTTAATTTATCCTTGATTTACACTGCTAACATGAAATAGTTGAAAGACCCAGTTTTATCAATTATTAACAGTTTCCAAATTCTGCACTATTAATAATTTGTGGGTGAGTGTTTCATGTAATAAAATATGACCAAAGAAGCGCTACAAATGTAATGCTTCATCTCACTCATAGAACCCACTTCTATTAGACAAGTGAACGCTAGACCTTATTCAAATGCCCCATTTGTAGGCCACCGGTCTACTCAAGTACCAGGCGAGCATCAAACTGGCGGTCCTCGTAGTATGCATTATAAAAGAGTTCAGGCAGCGGGGACATGAAAATGCTGAAATATTCTCCACACGGCCTCTCGAACTGAGCAAGTAATATGGGGCAAGGTTGTGGAGCTGCTCTTAACTTTGAAGTTTTGCTACCACTTCGCCGTTCTTGCGCCCTGGTGTTTCTCAATTAATTGAAAAATTTATCGGCTTTTAAAGCAAACTCAACGTTTTAATTACAAATTGAAGAGCAAAATCGGAAGTCATTTAAAGTAACCTAACGTATACTTTTCTCGCGAAAACGTACTTATAAAACAAGTAAGTATAATAATCAATGTTAACACTCACCAACAGCTACTTCTAAAGCTTTTATGTCTATTTGAATGAGCAATATCGTTGATATAAGGTTAATATCGTCTCGAGTAGTATTACTTATCTTAGAATTCATATAAAGCTTTCCTTATGTTACCTAATCTTCCGTAATTATATTATAAATTCGCGATGGTAAACATTTCCCAGTAAGCAGATGCTATTAAGAGGGTGGTAATATAAAGTGGATATAATATTTTGCAACGAGATACGGAGGCGGGTGTCCCTTTACGAGTGAATTTTATGGTCTTGGAACGCTGGTTTCCAACCTTTTGCGCTGTTTCAGACTCGACAGACACCTCTGTAAAGATTTAAGCTGGGTTGCACCATCTTACTTTAACTTTGACAAACGTCAAAAATCTGTCAAACTCCATACAAAAAGCACCGGTTATTGTAAAAGTTACGGTCAAAGTTAGGTGGTGCAACTCAGCCTAAGTGTGACTGACGTGACCTGACTTACTCTGCGACCAATACACTATATTAAACTCATAACAGTACTTTAAAATAAATTTGAAATCCCCTTTAAGTTAAATTAAGATAATTTGCCAAAATGCTATTAAATACCATAACATCCGTATTCAACGATGCTTGCTTAAGTGAAGCAGCAAATCAAACGCACAGCGTTGAATAGAGCTATGTAATTGGCGAGCGTAAGTATATTTCGTTCAATTGACTGCATCTTGATAAAAATACGAGTGTATGATGAACAAACCATTATAAGAAGACGACTGGCCATGTCATTCAGAGATGTTAGAATAAAGTATGTAGAATAAAAAATCTATTCAGAAACTCATGCTCTTTCTTTCTCCGAAGAAATATTCTGGAGATGGTTTCATCTCCTTAACTCCCAAAATGGGCACAT